TATAAGCCAAGGCGCCGATACATATGCTATAGCCATGTAGGTTATAGCTGTGGACACAGCGAGGCATGCGTGTGAGAGTAGAGCAGGGAAAGGGGGGGAGGGGGAAGCAAAGGGGTTGGGGTTGGGGTTGGGGTTTGGATGGGTGGCAAACAATGGGTTAAGCTTGAGGTTATCAGCGCAGCATTCGTGCAAGTGTCACACTTATATGTAAGTATGTATGCATGTTCATATGTATGTATGTATGTACATATACGAAACACACATACACACACACACACACACATTCGAAGGCTTGGTGCTGGGGCTGAGTCTCAGTGGACACTCACAATACACTCATGTGCACACATGTGTGGCGCTAATGATCTCTATCTGTCTCGCTCGCACTCGCTCTCTCTCACGCTCTATCTCTCTTACTCTCTCTCTCTCGCTCCCTCTCTCTCTCTCTCTCTTTCTGTCTTGTAGTCGCTCTGCCTCACACTCACAAAGCGCGCAGCACAATTAACAATAACGCAAACCTTTGCAATAAAAACAATTCGCATTCACTTTTGGGCACACACACACAGTCGCACTCACACACATGCTTCGAGTACGTGCTGTGCTTCTCATATCAAAGCGCTGACATTAATGGGTGCAATGCTTGGGCAGCGCAGTCGGCGGCGACGTCAGCGTTGACAGCAGCTAGTGTGAATGCCAATGTGTGTGTGTGTGTGTGTGTGTGTGTGTGTACGACTCGAACTGCTCGCGTCCAGTTGCGGTCCGCCTCGCAACGTTCAGCTTGCAACATGCTGCACGAGCCAAGCCAACAGCCACCCGACCTAGCGCCCACCCACCGAAGCGCTGTCACTGTCGGCGTCGCTGTCGACGCCGCAGCTGCAGTGATTAATGTGCATTAGCCGGTGTTGACCGCGGTGGGCGAGTATTAAGCTCAAGTACAGGCAGCAGCTCCACTCCAGTGCAGCAGACTCCAATTGCAGTTAGAACGCACCTAGCCACACCAACACCAACACACATACACACACATATACATATTTATATATGAATATATGTGAATATTCATACATACGTGACTATATACTCTGAACCAAATATGTCTACTCTGATTGCTAAGGATGTATTTTTCATAATTTACATGAATACACTCGTGAATATATTTATGAATACACTCATGAATACACTCATACGAGTAAGTCTATATTTTTAATTACAAAATATTTATATTTATATTTCATGAGTGACTGCACTCACAAATATAATCTTGAATACACTTATGAATAAAAATAATTACCTATTTATTATGTCAGAAATGTTATATATAAATTAAGTTTTTGATATATGAACAAAAGTTAAGCTCTGAATATAATCATGGGTATATAGGGCTCCACTGAATACGCAACAAAATGAATAAGACTATTCTTATGGGTGTCTTTAGACATAATTTTACGTATTATTTTGCTTATGAATGCACTCATGAATGAATTCATAATAAGTTGACTGTGTTCAATATTTTCATAATTATACTCGAATAGCCATCTCTGAATGACATTAATAAACTCATGAATGTACTCATAAGTAATACTCAAATCGATCAATGAACATTGTTGAAATATTCATATGCCCATAGTTATGAATAACATGAATACACTCACTTACCATAAAAGCTCAACTGAGTGTACTCTTAAGTAATATTCAAATCGATCAATGAACTTTATTGAAATATTCATATGCAAATAGTTATGAATAACATGAATACACTCACTTACCATAAAAGCTCAACTGAGTGTATTCAATGTTTATGTTAAACTAAGCTGTCGAACACAACTATGAATAAAAAAAATCTCAACCACTCATGAATGTATTCCTGAATAATCGAATAAGCTCTCATGAACAACACTTAACAAAAATTATCAATGAATGTACTCGATATGAATGACTCTGAATGCAATTTTACATCTGGTCTATATATGAATTTACAGTATTCTCATTTGCCCCACAACCAAATGAACTTCAACCCGAACAACTCGTCGGACTAACTACGTCGGTTGGCGGCTCGCTGTTCGGGCTATTCGGCAGCTTCAGCGCCGACTGCAGCTGGAGCTAGCGTTAGCTTCAGCTGCTGTTCGAACGCCGACTGAGAAGGCGTTTGGCCAGGCGAGGGCAGGCTGTGGCCGGCCGCCAGTTGGCGCTGGCAGCGACGTCGGCGTTGCGAGTGGTTTGGTTGGTTGCTTGCTTGCTTGCCTGCCTGCTGCTCGGCAGCTAAAGCTGAAGCAGTGGCAGTGGCAGTGGCAGCGGCGACAGCGCCAGTGGCCTCTTGTTGAATGGAAGATGGGCATAAACTAAGTTTAGTTTATTAGATGCACACGAGCAGCCGCGTTGTGAGGACGTGCGCCACAAGTTCCTACTAAAGTTCTGCCCGGTCTACGGGAAGCGCGCGCGAAAAATTTACGAAAAAGCGAAACAGATGAAAAACAAAGGCAAATGTGTTTCTAGCTAGTGTTTGGTTCGATTTCCAATTGGATGTTTTTTGGGTAATGGCAAGAAGTCAAACTATTATGCTTATTCGAGTTCATTACGATGTTGTTGTTGTTGTAGTTGTTGTCATTGTTGTTGTCGTTGACGCTTTGATTTTGCGCGGCAAACGTCGCGCAGTCGTCGCTTTAAGCTGCGCGCGCATTCGGTCAAACGCCGGCTGCGTATAACGGACAATGGACAGCGCGTCAGCAGCAGCCGCAGCAACTCTGCCCACTTGCGCTCGGTTTATTCTCCACACGCTATCCTTTAGCCGCCTCATCCCTCTTCATACAGCATAGGCACGCTTCACACATGTGTGAACCGTTATCAGCGGCAAACTTGAGCAGTCGCCGCGCTGCCAACGACGACGTCGTGTGCAGTCTGGCATGAAACAGTCGCCACATCGAACTTGGCTATTTTCATTTGTTTCAACTGACGCGAGCTTGCCGTTCTCTCTCTCTCTCTCTCTGTTTGACTATTGCGCTCTCGCTCGCGCTTACTCTGGCTCGCTCTCGTAATCGTATGCGTATGTGTGTGTCCACCCCCACATACGCACACACATGCGGCCAACGGACCAACGAGTGGCAGCAAACCAAATAAACAAATCTAGCGGCAGCGACGTCAGCAGCAGCAGCAGCAGCCCATCAGCCCACCAACCCACCAACCCACCACCACCAACAACAACAACACAAGCATAATAACAATAACAACAACCCACCACCACCACCATTACCACCGACGACACCATAGCAAAAGGGCTGTAGCTTTGACGTTGGCGTTGGCGTCGGCGCCGGCGTCGGTGTCGGCGTCCGTGTTGGCGTCGCTTAGCCAAAATCAAATTTTCAGATTGGCATTAAAGTGCAAAACCCTAAAATAAAATTGAATTATCTGAACGTGTGCGTCCACAGTCGCTCGCAGGACATCGTCGCGTTCGGACATGCTCTCGTCGCTGCTCTGTCTCTGTCACTGGCTTTGGCTTTTCTAGGCTCTCGCATAAGCTTGGCCGCTGCCGCAGTCACAGTCACAGTCACAGTCGCTGCCACAGTCACAGCCACTGCTGTTGCTCTGCCTCTCCACACATACACGTATGCTCGTTCGCTCGCTCGCTCGCTTACTCACTCACTCATACACGCACACACACAAACTCGAACTCAAAACTCAGCCGAGCAAACGTGCGCTCTCTCACGCACTGTGTTCGTCCACTCGTCAAGCTTTCGTTCGTTTCGTTTGGCCGACACGACCACGACGACGACGACAACGAAGCAGAAGTTCTCTCGCACTGCCGCCCGTTGCCCATTCACTTACTGTGTGCGCTGGTGTTGGTGTTGGAGTGTGTGTGTTGGTGTCGTCACGGCGCTTTGTTGGTTGGACAACGACAACAACTACGACAACAGAGCGACAGCCGTAGCCGTAGCCGCAGCCGCAGCCGCAGTCACAGCCGCAGCAGAGCCAGCGAAGACGCGCTCGCCGCTTGACGCCTCGTAGTAGTCGCGTACTTCCGCCGTTACCGTTAGCACCACACATTTCTGACGAGGCTGCCACCGCCGTCGCGGTGCACGCAGCAGCAGCAGCAGCAGCAGCAAACGCCAAGCGCCAAACGCTGAACGTCGAATGCAACAATAACAGTTAGCCAGCGGACAACGACAAATAATGACGCGTGCTTAAATACGTATTCAAACAAAAATTTTTTTTCATTTGGTTGCACATCTTTCGACATTCACCGTCTCGATCCCCGCCCGTTTGCAACTAAACCCGGCTAATACAAACACAACTACACTCGCACACACACATACGCAAACAGCAACAATTTTTTTCAAGTGTTTTGTGCATTTTCGAAAAAGAAACAAAAACAAATGTTCGATTCCAATTGGACGTCGAATTCGTTGCCAATTGGATTGTGCCGCGCCAACAACAATGCGAACCAAGAAACAGCAACAATGTGTTGATAAAGTTGTTTAGCACAACAAAACGCCGAAAAAGCATGTGGCCAAAAGGAACGCGCAAAAACAATTTCGTCAACTGCCAAACTGCCAGCAATAACAACAGAAACAACATCAACAACAACTACAACTTAAAGAAATGCTCATAAGATTTACAACAACAACAACTAGAGTGCATACGGTTCCTATACGAAAGTCTAAGCAGGAAGCAATATAGCAGTCGTCGAAGTAGTAGAAGAAGAAGAAGGCAGGCAGCAAAAAGTGTTTTTTTCGAGTGCGAAAATTTGTTTGTTTGTTTTTTTTTATGTTTTACTTAAAACGTAAAGTAAATAAAAATCTATGAAAATATTTAAATAAATAATCGAAAAAATGTCTTGAATCCAAAAACAAAAAAGGTGGAAAAATGACAAAAACAACGAGAAAATTCCTAAAACTAAAGCTGTGGGACCGAGTGGAGCCCATGTAAGGCCACAGATAAGAGATAAAAGCAAAATCTAAACAAAATTCAGTGAATTTTTTTCTCTCGAAACAAACAAGGAAAAAACAGCAAAGCAAAAACAACAAAGTGCAATAAAACTAAACGAAAAAATCAAAAGCAAAAAACATTTGACCAGTGTTGGGCAACAGCTCAAAGGCAAAAGCAGCAGCGAACCAGAGAAGTGGAGCCGTAGGAGCCGAAGGAGTTGCCCGCCCAGCTGCCAGTGGGGCGAGCGCTCGAAAAGTTTTGAAACTCCCTTTGGAAATTGTAACAAAAATGAGAATTAAAATGCCTGCGGTTCGAATTGCACAAGGTAAGTGAATATTTTTGGAAATGGCCCAAACTCGACTTTTCGAGTGGAAAGCAAAAAAGAAGAAGGGTTGAACACACCTGTGGGCGCACCATGAGACTTGCTTTGAATACTTTTCTGAGCTGTAAAAGAATAACTATATATAGATATATTTATATACATAGATGTTATATATAGCCGTGAGAGCATTGATGTATTTTAGATTTTTCTGTGAGTGTTGTGTAACGTAATGTAACTGAATTCACTTAAACAGGTGAATTCGAAATAGAGCTGAACTTGGCTAGTTGGTGTTTTTAAGGATTAAGATTAAAGATCTTTAGAAATGTACATCTTCAGCAATGGAAACTTCTATATAGAACAGAAACTTTTAAGTTGCGATTAGATGTATGCCTATTTATATACATAATATATACTATATATTACATTTTTATAAAGCTCCAGAATATTAAATATTTTGCAAAGATTCTGGCTTATTTATATACATAAATATATTTATATATCATTAGTGTATATATTTACTTAAAGAAATTGAGAAAACTAAGAAATCGAGCCTGCTATATAGAAGTAGCTTCAGAGTTTCTTATTGGTAGAAAACTTAATGACATTTTGAATACATTAATGGAACCTGTTCTGCAAGAGAATAGTAAGTGAAAGTAGTAACAGAGTTACATAAATATTCTTTAGATATATGTTCTATAAAATATCTATATTAAGAATCAAGAAAATCTCTCAAAAATAGTCACAGATTTGCCAGCAGTCGAAAAGCTGGAAAACCTTGGCTTGCCCAACTTTTGACAGACAATGAATATAATTCCCTTGGCAGATCTGTTCAGAGCTGTGAATGGGCTAAATGATATAGACTTGATATGGATGTGGGCCATGGCCCATATATCATTTGCTTCAGTTGGATGTCCATGTGTGCGAGAGGCTTTATTTCCCAGTTATTCTTGAACTATTTTTTTCTTGTTATCGCGACGATATCGCACTGAAATCAGAGTTCCTCTGTGCTGGGTGTGTATTGCCATGATTTTTCAGATTTTTTCGCGATTTTTATAGTTTTTTGCCTTTTTTTGGGTTTTTTTTTTGTTGCTTGCGTTGGTGGTTGTAAAGTTAACGGTTCTTTTTGGCCAGGGCGCGACGATGGCCGCAATTTAGTTGCTTTATTGCTGCTTATTGTTATTATTATTATTATTTACGTTATTTGGCGGCGGGTCAACAACAGCAACAACAACAATTAACATGACAAATAATTTTGTTGTGTATCTGTATCTGTGTATCTGTATCTGGTCACGGCTAGTTCAAAGCGAAATCAAAGCCGTATAACCATAAACACACACACACACACACTCTCGCACACACACACACACACACAGTTCCGTATCAGTCTGGTCATAAAATATGACTGGCTTTTAGTTTTGGCAGAGATTCTTTATATGTTTCATATGTTATATTTGTGTGTGCCTCTCCCAGCCGTCTCTTGGGCCTTTCTTGTTATCTACCTGTTATCTAGATAACACATTGCCGTCCAGCCCTGAACTGCCCAATGACGCACGCTCGCCACGTTTCGCGCTGCTGCCCATTTATCAGAGTCATCCAGCTGCTGCTCTGCACCTGAGACGTACTCCTACTCCTACTCCCACTCCCACACCCTCCGCCCCTTTGCGCCTCACCTGCCAGCCTGCCCGAAATGTCGTCAAACAGTTTTAATTGCTCGCAAAGTTGTTTGCCTTGTTATTGTTGTCGTTGTTCCTCTCATTCAGCTCGTTGCGATATTTTTCGGTTTATTTGTGTTACAAATCAAAAGAACAGTCGCTGGAGTAGGTGCTGAGTGGGTGGCGTGGGTGGCTGGGTTGGCTTGGGTGGCTTGGGTGGTTGCTTCCCAGTTCAATGCGATAAGAAGCAAATTGTGGACCCAACGACTAATTACTAAACGATCGCTTACGCCGTGGACCCGCCTTCAGTCTCCGCTTCTTTCCCTCGTTAACTTTGATTTTGATTTTGTTGTTGCTTTTGTTTCTGGGTCTTGTTTGCTATCGATATCGACGCTACGCCCAAAATTGCTGTTGTCAGTGGCTATACACCTTCGCCCCTGGCCCCCTCCTTCTGCCCTTTCATAATTAATTGTTACAATTCCATCAATTTTCCCTCAATTTTTTGAATCTTTTCGATCTTTGACTTTACAAGATTTCGTCACGCGTCGCGTCGCCGCTCTTATCGGACGCTAATGAGTATTTCTTCTCCATCGTCTGCTTCTTACTCTTCTGGTGAAAACAAGTCGCATTGCCAAATGCAATCAAACAATGTTAAGCGAGCGCCGAGAGCTGCTAGGAACGGGACAACGCGAAGGCAAAGGGAGTCGAGTCTGATGGCTAACTGACGAAAGCAAACATTTTGATAGAGACGAATTTCTATACTAAATGAGAAAATATGAGACTGAGCCAGAAAAAAACTTTGCTTACATTGCAAACTGATTTTGCTTTTGCTTAAATTGCATAAATAACTCAGAAAGGAGTCTGCAAAGCTTCGGAGTATTTTGTTTTTGATTTGGCACATCGATAGATCAGGTCAACAGCAGCTCTGGTGTTAGATTTTGAATGCGATGCGTGGTGAATGAGTAAGTATGAGTATCTTAAGAGATCTGCTTTAGTAATCCCAAATCGGATGTGAATCAAACTCTAAATTTTTAAATCCAAAATTTTCAAGATTTTGCAAATATTCTAAATTCACATTCGGCCCCGGAGTTTTTCTCAGCTCTGTTGATTCGAGTAGCTGCATGCCAAGAGCTTCGTAGTCTAGTTTTCAAGTTGAGTCAAGTGTGGAGGGCAGGGGAAAAATTTGAATATGAATCAAATCGTTGTTTGCCCCGGCCATGTGCTCGCCTGCCCTTTGGCGAAACCCTTTTTGAGGTCCACGTGTCCGTTTCGCTTGACTACGGTCAATGGCTAATCGAGCGGCACACACGGTCCGAGCAGCTGGCCTCGAATTAGTTGAATCGATAGTTAGGCTGGACGCGCGAGTCCTTCGCTCCATGCAGGCACCTGCTGTGGCCCAGCTCGCGCGCCCGCCTGTCACTGCTTTTGCTGCTGCTTTTAATTTGATTATCGACCAAACAGTGTCCATTAAATGAGCGACCGACCGCGGCCGTCGCCGTCCGCTTGGCATTGTTATCCAGCTCCTGTTGCAAGAGCACCATGGCAACGTCGCTGCCCGGCTCCCCTTCTCGCAATTGTTATAACAAATAACAGCAGAGGAGCAGCAGCTCCCCGCAAGGCTTCCCTTCCTATGCCAACGAGCCGATTCGCCTGTGTCGTCATGTGGATGTCAAACTTTTGTCCAGCTGCTTTTGCTTAAACGGCACTTGGCTAGAACTTGCTTGTTCTATTGGAGCCTGCAGGACATCTCTGCAGAGCGACCCCACCCCGCCGCTCCAAAACAACAACAAATTGCAGGCGCTGCGGGTGTGTGTGTGTGTGTGTGTGTGCGCTGATATGCTCGTCATGCAGTCAAAGACTCTGCCAGCAGCTCCTGCCACTGGCAGCATAATCAGCCACAACAGCGCGCAGCAAGTTGCTTCCGCTGCAACGACCGAAGCCCCCCAAACGCCCCAAAGCCGCCAAGCTGCCTCCTTCTGTGCCGCTTCTTCGACAATTGTGAGGCAGCCGCCGCACTAGGTGCATCCGTGTCCGTTTTTTATTCGACACTCGGGACCAGCGGGCGGTCGCAGCCAGTCGGCCGGCCAACCCAGACGCCAACAACAACAACAACAACAACACTAGCTGCTGTCGACTCTTTTCGTATTTGGCTCGACTCGGATGCGACTTCACATTCACAGCGAGTCACATTCACATTCACATTCACAGATTCCGGCCAGGCGCATGAATTGTTTTGCACTTTCTTTTGTTTTAAATACGCTTTTGCCTATTGTTTTCCACACACACACACACACACACACACTCTCTCTCCTTCTCTCGAAGTTAAATTTTCAAGTTCCAAAAACAAAAAACTGAACCAAACAAAGCGTAGTTTGAAATAATAAATATAAAAAAATTTATATATTAAGAAAAAATCCCCTACCAAAAATGCATACACACACACACACACATACACTCCAGTCTGTCCAAAATAAATATATAAAATATATAACACGTAAAAATAAATATGTATAGCTGGCAAATGCAAGCTATGCAGCAGCTGCAACAAAGTCATCGGAAGTTGTTATCGATCCATAAATCGATAAATCGGTAATAATGCATATATATACTATTTAGAATTATATCGAACAATTTAGTCACGCTAGAAGGTGCTTGCATTGCATCAAATTTTGTTTCGAAATATAGCAGTTCATGGAACTGGTTCACCAACTCACTCACGAAACATATTTGTTTGATTAATTTGTTTGCAAATGCCCAAATTATTTATTGTATTTTTATGTTATATACAACATTTCTTTTAAGTTCCAAGCACTGGTTCACAACTTTCTTACCGATTGCTATAACTTAAATAATTGTAACTCAAGGAACTGGTTCACAATTAGTTTTTTGTAAATCTTCAGCGTCTCACACAGTGGTTCAAATATGTTTAATATGTGAACTAGCTTCAAAATATTGTGGCTCATATTAAATATATATTTAATAATTTCAATTTCTAGTTGCTTTCCGTTTTACAAACAAAATCAATTGGAGCTTGTCTTAACTGAGTTAGATACAACAGTCCAAAGTGACTTAGTTCGGATTTGGGTAGCTTTAAAAATGAGTTGGAACTAGTTGAAAAGCCATTTACAGCTTCGCTTGAAGTTCTGGCAGTCGAGCGAACGCGTCGTATACGCAATGTCCAAGCAGCTGAGCGTTTGTTGTGGCTGACCAGCTGCTGCTGCTGCTGCTGCTTAAGCGAAAGCGAAAATGAGTAAGACAAAAAATAAATAAGGAAGGCCAAGGAGAACAGCCAAGAAAAACCAGCAAATGAAAAGGAAAACGCGCGGCGAGCAGAACCAGACTTAATGAATC